TGTAGGCCAGATGAAGATGTAGCTTCTGTGAAAAAACTGTTTTACTGTTGATATCGGAGTGCAGGTAGATTTACCGTCGTGGATGGGGAATAGTGTTGATCCCTTGGTGAAGCAATCTGTACTCAATGGTGATGGGTTAGAGGAAAAATTATTTTTATCTGGTGAAGGGAAACCGATGAAGTCATCTTCGTCAACTTGCTCCAGTGAATCAGTTTCACGGGATCAGATTGTTTTACATTCTTTGAAACCTCAGAAATGTTTGTATACAGATGTTTTGGTGAACGGGCTTACCTCTAGAATGTTGTTGGATACAGGGTCTCCTGTCTCAATTATGTCACAGGATGATGTTCTTAAAATGGGTTTTCAGAGCATTAGTTTGAAGAAAGTTCACAAGGATTTCTTTACGGCCAATGGTATGCCTATAGCTTATAGATAAAGTAGAGGCTGTCGAAAGCTGGCCTAAACCGGAAACTCGTTCAGACATTCGCAGTTTTCTAGGTCTTGTGGGATATTACCGGCAGTTTATTCCAAATTTTTCAGAGGTTGCTTCACCTATGGTGCGACTTACTCGGAAGGGTATTCCATTTGAATGGACAAAGGATTGTCAGAGGTCATTTGATCGGTTGAAACAATGTTTAATAACTGCTCCAGTACTTGCCTTTTCCTCAGGAAAAGGGACTTTATGTGCTTGATACTGATGCTAGTGGTTTTGGTATAGGTGCAGTGCTATCTCAGGTGCAGAAGGAGATGAAAAGGTTGTTTCATATGCAAGTCGTGCGGCTTGGACAGTCATAGCGCAACTATTGCACTACCAAAGCGTGAACTTCTGGCAGTGGTTACATTCCTTAAGCACTTTAGACACTTTCTTTATGGCCAAAAAGTTTATCTTGCGCACAGATCATGCTCCTTTGATATGGCTGAAAAATTTCAAAGATCCAGAAGGAATCTTAGCAAGGTGGCTCAGCATTGTTGAAACTTATGATTTGAGATCCAGTATAGGCCTGGTAGGAAGCATCAAAATGCTGATGCTCTGTCCCGTAGATCTCAGCGGAAATGTACTTTTGAGAAGTGTACTGATTGTCATTCTCCTGATTTCTCGAGTATTCAACAGGATACTCGGTTGTTACTGTGGAGCACAATGCTGTTGAACAAGCAAGTGGTAGAGGGTCGGTGTTCAGTCACCTGAACCTATCAGTTTAGTAGAAGTTGAAGATGGGAATGTTGAAATACATACAGATTCAGGGGAAGATGCGAATTCTGCTGATGATTCAGGAGTAGGTCAGTAGACTGTTCAGTGACTCCACAGCTCCTAGTGGTGTGGCTAACTGGTTACCTGTGTGGACTAGGGATGAGTTGCTTGACTGGCAAACAGCTGATGGAGGTATTGGTCGGTATTAAACTGGATGTCGAAAGACTGTGAACAACCTGAGAAATCAGAAATCATAGACTGGAGTTCAGATGCAAAAATGCTTTGGGGACAATGGCAAAATCTTAGGCTTGAGAATGGATTATTGTATCGTAAGGTAGAATCTGAAGTTTTGGGTTCCCGTTTGCAGTTAGTAGCACCAACAGCTGTACGTCGTCTATCTTTGATCATTTGCATACATCCCGTTACAGCTGGGCATTTTGGGCGGGATAAAACAATCACATCTATCAAAGCCAGATTCTATTGGCCAGGAATGTCGGATGACATTAAACAGTGGATAAAATCTTGTGACTGGTGTGCTCGCTGTAAACCAGGTCCAGGTCGAGGCAGGTCTCCTTTGCAACAATTTTCCATCTGGGCACCCTGGAATGTATCGCCATAGACATAGTTGGTCCTTTGCCTATAAGCAGAAATGGTAATGAGTATATTATGGTAGTTGGTGATTACTATACCAAGTGGAAAGAGGCATTTGCATTGAGGAATCACACAGCGTCAACTGTTGCTGACAAATTGGTGTCGGAGGTAATTTGTAGGTTAGGTTGTCCCCAACAGATTCACACTGATCAGGGAAGAGAGTTGAATCCCATTTATTCACAGAAGTGTGCCGTTTACTTGGGATAAGTAAAACCAGAACAACCCTTACAGACCTCAATCAGACGGTTTAGTGGAGCGCTTCAACCGTACCCTAAAGCAGATGCTCAGTATTTACACTCATCAGGAACCTTTGGATTGGGATGACCATCTCCCATACTTGCTCATGGCATATAGGGCCTCTGAACATAAGAGTACACACTGTTCACCTAACTTAATGATGTTGAAGGCGGGAAGTGAATCTTCCTATAGATCTAATGATAGGTACCCCACCTGCAACTGAAGGTGAGCTTTGTCCCGTAGAATACATTGAAATGGCTGAAAGAAACCATGCAGGGCACTTTTCAGTTTGCCAATAAACAGTTAGGTAGAAGCGGCCAAATTCCAAAAGAAAACTATGACTCTCGATTGAAGCCAAGGACATTGAAGAGGGCTCTTTTGTCTGGAGGTGGTATCCTCCAAAGGCCAACCAGAAATTGGGATTAGGTTGGGATGGTCCCTACTTAATAGTGGAGACAACTATCCCTTACTACCCACACAGGATACAAAGGGCACAGGATAAACCTATTGTAAGTGTACATGTGGATCATTTAAAACCATATGAGGGGACTCAAGTCCAAGCAGCTGGTTGAATCAACCACAGCATGACTCCGCTGCAGCGGATATACAGACCGGGATGGATACCTTCCAATTGGAGGAAGAATTTAGAACGCCTGAAGCTATACTGACTCGGGCAGGACTGGACTGTTAAACCATTAAAAGGTTTAGTCCAAGTTAGGAGAAGATAAGGGTGACTTTCCTTATATTTTATTGGGTTTTGCCAGTTATTTTAAACAGGGTAACTTGCATGATGTTTATATAGCTTGTTTTGTTGTTGTTGTTTTCTCTACATGATTTCGGTTGCTCTGGGAAGAATCTTCCCTCTTTCTGCTTGATACTTCTGCTTGCAGAAAATGGAATTCGAAATCCAAGTCAAAGAGGAGGAGTTGGTAGCATTTGAGGAGAGAGGCCTATTTGGCCAGAAGATGGGCAGACTTGTGAAGTTCAAGGATGTGCCAGTGGACACATTGGGACCTACCGAACATGGTAAACCACTGGGTGAGGTTTCATCGTCCCCAGCACAACTTGCGCCAGTGCACTACCTGTTTAAAGGTATTCCAGAGGAAGAAGGGTGTGGAGGAACATGTGAAGGCGCATAATCCCCATGGCAGTGTAACTACGGTTAAAGCGTAGTAACAGACAGTACCAGCGACCCTGGTGCCTGTCTTCTCCCTCGGAGGGACCCTCTCCGGCGTTCCGCCCGGTTAGCCAGAGAGCGAAGGCGACCCAGAGTAGAAGCGGCCATGCCTCGGAGGCCTGAGCGCGAGCCGGTGGCGACAGGAGGAGGAGGATCGCCAGGCTGCAAGACTTTCGGCGACTAGTAGCATTTTCGCGATTCTGTACTGTTACTGTTAATTTTATTTTATTGTTAATTCTTACTTGCTTGTTTTATTTTGTTTTGTTTTGTTTTGTGTTTTTTTTTTGGTGTGTAAACTGTTATATATTTATTCTTTTGTTTTGTTTTCATATTTTGGGGATTTTTAGGAGAGGGCAAAAGGGTAACTTTTGACTTTAAGGGGAATAATGGGCGTTTGAGGGGTATAAAGTTTATTAAATACAAAAGTTCATAGTGGGTGGGATAGGTTAGGTAGTTGGGTGGGCTGGCGTGAGTACCTACCTTTGTAGTCAAATATGTAGAAGCCTAGGGCCCATGCGGACCTCGTGGCGGGGAGACAGGGCGATGTCACGCTTCTTGCATGCTCCGCCATCTTGAGGGGCAGAGATGCAAGGAAGCGTCTTGCGTAACCGAAATCTGGATTTCCCCAGTCCGCGTGGCCCGATGTCGACTATATAGGCCTACCCTAGGTAGGGAATCGATCAGTCGTCCGATACCGCATCGGGTAAGTTTCTAGCGACTCCAGTCTTGGATCAAGACCAAGTTTAAGTTTCCACATATTGTTTGTTGTTTTAGGGATGTCGTGTTGATTTAGTGTTAGTTTGGGAAGGGGAGAAATAGTATAGGAATGAGTAGGTTTGGTTCTGTTGTTTTCGGGAGTAGGTATTAGGGGTGGACATAGACCAAAGTTAAACTGTATTTATGTAGGATTTAGGTAGGTAGATATATGTAGGCTTGTTTAGATTAATACGTTTTTTTTCACAATAAACAAGAATGGAAACCTAAATATTCGTTTGTTCTGACTTTAATTGAGTTGAATTGGGAGAACCCCGCCAGGAACCATTCCCACAGAACTTGCAGACAAGATGTACTGACCACGTAAAGAGACCAAATTATCAAACACAACGCAAAGCATTTTACTTCAGTAACCAACCGACACTTGTCATACATATACAACGTTCTGCTGTCACTGGGCGTCTGTTTTACAACACTCACGCGCTAGGCGCCTATTAATCATGATAATGACAGATTGACCACAAGAACCATTAGCACATAAGTTGCCTCTTATGGCCAACATAGGTTGACTGGAGTCCATTTCCATCTTAGAATCTCCTGATGACCACATAGACATATTTGCATTTTCTACACTATTTTATGCGTGAGCATATTTTCACAGATTCCGGTGCAGCAGTTTATCGCTCTCCTCAAATTGTCCACTGTGATTTGTAATTTGTAAAACATGAAACAATTTATAGCCCAGTTTTGGTTAACAGTCATTTTCAGGTTTTTATCCAAAGTTTTCAAAAACCAATTCACCAAGACTTTCTGTAAACCAAGTTTGACAAAAACTATATTCAACGATTTTGGAGTTCTGGTCTGTTAATGATCGAAAATGGGACAATGTACCGGCGACATATAAATCCGATTGACAACCAACAATCAACAACGTGAGACAATTTAGATTTACACAGACACACATCTCCAAAAACACACACAATATGACACTTATTTGTCATGAAATATCATATGTAAGTTAAGATCAAATACCTTATCGTTGGGAGTAGGAAGTATTTCAGCACAGGTATGTAAAAACATACAAGGGGCCCGGGCTACGAATTCAATCTTGTGATTCCTTTCATCTTTAGGTTTCTCACTGCTGAGCAAATATTTGGAGAATAGATGTTCAGTAAGGTTCCTTATTTCATGCCATTAAATACATTTTTGAACCGACATTTATAGATTTTAACGCAAATATATAAAAAAATTATTTTCGTCTGTTAGTCTATATTTTAAATAAACCTCGTTTTTCAATCAGCCCATCTCGGCTAAAGTCGGGTATAATCGTTGCATTTTAGCTCCATATCAGTGCGTGCTACATACACAGCGCACTTAAAATAAAATCAATTCCAGTAACATCACTGTGTGGAGTTTAGGTAATTTTTTTCCGAGTCCTCAAACATTTGCTGAATGAATCTGATTGAAATGCCGTAAGATGAAACGTTACATTCCATTGGGTACGAATATGAGCATAATCCAATCAAACGTTATCTCTCCCACGTAGCGTAAAGCCTACACGTTGTCAACAATGGTAAGTGGTACCTGTCAGTGGTCATATAAAAGTAACAATATGTCTCTTTCATGTTTTTTCGTCTTTCATTTATTTGGAAACGTAGCTGATATGGACTAGACTGGGCGAGGAAAACTTCTAGGAACACGACGTTTAGCTGGTTGAACTAGTCGATAACATGTAAAATGCCGATGGTTTAGACAGGTTGGGGAAACCTACGGATCGGCCTATAATAGGCCAAACGGGATATAATAGGCCGATCCGCCTATTTTGCTATAGGCCGATCGGCCTATCGGCCTATAATTATGATATTTATCAAATAAATTTGAAGTGGTGCATTTCCGCATGAGGATATTAACATCATTCAAGTTTTGATGTCCTAAGGTTTTCATTCAAACCCTTTTTGAGCATTTTCATCACATAATAAAGGAGTTTGGAAATTGCTCATTAAATATAAGACTGTAATAGTTTTGACAATTTTCACTGAAAATTAATGATATAGATATTCAGTTTTAGTTGTCAAAATGAAAATCTATGCAAAATTGTGTTCTTAAATGAAACATCTTTTCCTGAACATTATATAAATTTCCATTTTGTCCAAAAACTTATTTTTTTCAAGCTGAGGAGGTCCATTAACTATTCATCTCTATGATCTAATAAAACCATTTCGTGCGGAAATTGATGGTTTGTGAAATGTTAATAATAATGGTCAAATATAGCCTGTTCGGCCTATAGTAAAATAGGCAGAACGGCCTATAGTATCCCGTTCGGCCTTTTATAGGCCGATCCGTAGGTTTCCCCAACCTGTTAGAACTTGCTAAAGATAGCAACCTTCCATTTTTTCGGGCTATGATTTGATTGTTTACTGGTATAAAATCGCAAGACGATAAGAATCCAAGCAAAGACCGTAGTTTATAAACCAGGGGTGAATAATGATTGTATGTTTTGTTTCAGTCGGCGTTGTTCAACTTCCAGAGCTTGTTGACAGTGGTGCTGCTGTTGATTTGTACATGCGCATACATCCGATCCATAGCCCCAAGTTTACTGGATAAGAATAAGACTGGGTATGTTTATCTGCTGGGTTATAGCTAAAACGGCACCACAGCAGAACGGCACCAAATTTGTGTGGCGAAAACGGCACCATATTGGCGAAAACGGCTACTGATTTCTGGGCTAAAACGGCACCATATATAAAACAAAGTATGACGTTGACTCATGTTTTATTTCATTTCATTATAACATCAGCAAGATTATATCAACATATGAGTCATTCTCAAAATCCGTGCATATTTATGTCAGATGTTTGTATCCGACAAACTTAAAGTCAAAATCAAACCAAAAAAATTATGGTAACTAACTTATCACAATATTTTTCTACACTTTACAGTAACAAAAGTAGGGAAACTATATTTTTATATTAACTTTACACCACCCAATTTTACTCAATGTTCATGTGTCACAACTCCAGTGGCTGATGTCACAAAAATGGTAAAATATGAAAAATGAAACATCATTAAGCTTGCATAATATATGTTATGTTATCTGCAATCCGATTATCTTATAACAAACTAGTTTTCCCCATAAGATTTTAGTTTGTGCCATTTTCGCCATAAGATTTGTAGCCGTTTTCGCCAAGTCGAGGTTCCGTTATGTCCAAATGGTGCCGTTTTCGCCAGGTGCCGTTTTGCTGTGGTTCCGTTTTAGCCTGCACCCGTATCTGCTTCACTAGTCACCATTTAGATAATAGGGGGCGGTGGGATAGCCTAGTGGCTAAAGCGTTGGCTCGTCTCGCGGACGACTCAAGTTCGATTCCCCACATGGGTACAATGTGTGAAACCCATTTCTGGTGTTCCCTACCATGATAGTGCTGGAATATTGCTAAAAGTGACGTAAAATTAAATTTGCATTGCATTCGCATCTTGGAGAATATAGGGACTGCCTCAGTTCTCCAGAGCAGTTGGGGTTCAATACTATTAATACTAATGGCTGCATCTTACCAAATGACTTCAATAGATGGTACTTGTTGTTATCCTGGTGGCCGTTGTGGAATAAAACAATCACTGGTTTGGCTCTGCATCAGTGTACTGTCTTTCTCTTGACTGGTACCAACAGCCCCACACACGCACATACAGTACTTCTCCAGAAGAGGGGGAGGTGGGGTAGCCTAGTTGTTGAACGCTGAAGAGCCTGGTTCCATTCCCTACATGGGTACAATGTGAGAAGACCATTTCTGGTGACCCCGGGGTGATATTGCTGGAATATTGCTAAAAGCCGCGTAAGACCATACTCACTCTCCAGGAGATAGGATTCAGCATGTTCAGTGTTGCGTACAAACATATGAATGCACACTTACATAATGATATTTATACTGAAATGATATTTAAATGTTTGAAAAATGTGTGTTTTTAAGCAAATCATTTCATACTGTATTTGGATAGTGGATATTGCCAGATTATGTTTGGATTTTTTTAAATTCATCTTAGAAACCGATTTGTACTGTGATACATACCACCAGGTCATTCAGAAGACGACCTTACAATTTCTTCTTTGATCTTCAATTTCAGAATATTAGGAACCTTTTGGAAATTTGCAAGAATAGGTAAGTAACTAAATCTTGTGACAGGGTAGAGACTATGAATGTCTGCTATCTTGTTTAGCCAGTTTACTGGTCACATGAAATTGGTAGGAAATTGTAAGACAGACCACACTGACATAATAACAGATGTCATGGATTTATGTAGGATTCTATGCTTTTCTAACTGTATCCAGGATTGCACAAATACTGCTAGTATACATGGTTCTAGTCTTATCTATGATTTTAATCATATCTGTGATTCTTAACTTATCAAAGATTGTACACTTACCTAGAATTCTAAACTTATCAAGGATTGTACACTTACCTAGAATTCTAAACTTATCTAGGATTGTACACTTACCTAGAATTCTAAACTTATCTAGGATAGTAATTGTATCAAGGATTCTAAACTTATCTAGAATGCTACACTTACCTAGGATTGTAAGCATATCTAGGGTTCTGAACTTAACCTGATTCTACACTTCTTGGTTTCTCAACCAAGTGCTTTTCGCACAGATGATTTTATTGTTCAAAAGTTGGATTGTTAATGTCTTGATTTTTGTAATTTCTGAGGAATTGATAAATGTCGGATCGAAATTGTGAATTTGCTGTTGCCTTAGGGCTGAATATTGACTGCTGAACAGGTCCAGATGAATCCCTAAGAAGTGTATAATTTGGACCAAGTCAGATTTACAGGTAAAATTCAGGTGTAAACCTGAGCCATTACTAACAGCAGGATGTCCCACTGCTGTCAGCTGCCTCATCAAAGTGAAATATGTTTTGACCATGTTCATCACTCATGTTTTTGTTTGCAGGTGAAAGAAAAAGTCCATATGTAGCCGTTTGTTGTGTTGCCATGGCAGCAAGTATTTTGTTCTGGTCCTGAAGACATTGGTTACATGTGTGTGAAGACGATGCTGGAGAGATGGAAATTCTGGTGATGACAACACTCAGCTTCCTAGTGGGCAGCATGATGGAGCTTTGGAAAGAGTTATGCCCCTTGAATGATGGACAATATTTTGGTTACAATACAGTTATGTTACTGAAATGGAATCGGTTGTGTTTAAAGAAAAGATTTGAAAGAAGTCATGCAGTGAATCAAAGAAACCCCACATTAATAAACCAACATGCATCTTTTAAAAAATGAACTTGAAAGAAAATACTTGTTTACTTGTGTATCTATACATTCTCAAACTAGAGATTTTTTGGCTTCCATCAGTTACAACGACTTCCTGTTTTTCTGGTCAGAATTATGTGCAGAATGTATTTTGATGTGACAAGAATCTGGAATTGATCCTCTGATAATGTTTTTAATGCAAACTGTCATTGTTTGATATTTATTTGTCCAGTCTGTGTCATTGTAAGCCATTGTCCACAGTTAACAGCATATACTACATTCATTTGTACAAACTTATCATGTCTAATGTTTTCCTCTTATATATGTTTCTGTAAATAAAGATGAAACATACTTTGGCATGTGTGTTGTCGATGGAGATGTGAGCAAATACCAGATCCTCTGCCTAGCTCAGCAAGTCTTTGTGGTCAGGTGAGTGAGTGAGTGAAAAAGAGAGAGTGAGTGAGTGAGTGAGAATTTACATCACTCTAAGCAATATTCCACAATTATCAGGGACACCAAGAATGGGCTTCACACAAGCCTGGGGAATCGAAGTGGGCCTACTGTTAACTTATTGGCTATCCAATTGGCAATGCCATATAAAATTGTAAAACTGTAAATCTGACTGCAAGTTGTTTTTCATTTCGCTCATCACATGGAAGACCTGGGCACATTGTTTGAAGCCCTTTTCTGTCCCCGTAATATTGCTTGAATGTTGCTATAAGTGGCGTAAAGCTAAATTCACTCACAGACTATTGTAAGAATAGTTAGTCCTGTGTAATTAGATTTATTCGATGATGCATGGACAAGAAGTATTTTGCAACATGTCTTGTGCATACTGAAGATGAAGATCGAAAGTCCTTGTCAATTCAGTTATGTGCATGCAGAGCTTGGTTATTGTATCCAAGTGATGACGGCAATGGCTGATTTACATCAATGGATAATTTCTTTTC